AATATCTACACAGCCAAAAGGAGGAGAGTCTGAGAGAGGAGGAGATGAGGAGACAGAGGAGAGGAGACAGCAAAGGAGCGAGAGTATGAGAGAGGAGAACAGAGGGCCCGCGAGAGGCACTACAGCAAGAAGGGGAGGATTTTAGTCTGAGAGGAAGATGGAGAAGAGGAGAACAGGAGCGAAACAGGAAAGACGAGCTAAAGAGCCATGGGAGTTTGAAGGACAGTTGAAGAAAGCAGAGCATAACAGCTCAGCAGCGCAGAAGTAGAGCAGCATGTCAAAAGTAACTTTTTGAAAAAGTATCGGGCAAGAAGATCAGGAGCTTGCATAATGTTTTTGTTTTTCATTTCGTTACTGTTCATATTAATGGTCTGTATGTCTATTTTCTGTGTACAGTAGGCATAATAAGGATGATCTGTTAACCTTGCCCAACTCGATTCAGTGACCTCATTTCATATTAAAACCTTAATTAGTTCAAATTACAGACTGGATGGCATTCTAAATTAGCGAGCTCTCAAATGGCTGTGTCGAGTGCCTAATGGTTTTTTGTGATAACTGAAGGCATAAAGTGTTTCCTTTATGTGGTCAGAAAATTTCCCCTCGCCTCTTAAGGCCAAGCTAGCGTGCTTTAAAAAGCCTCTTCGGCATCAGCTGGAAAGGCGCATCAATCACAAAGGCTGAAAACAGCCTGTGTTCACGTTTACTTTTTGGAAGATACGACAGAGACAAGCGTACACCAGTATATTGATGCATATTAGTTTTAGGAATATGATGCATTGCCTGCCAGATTTAAACTTTACCCAATCGGGTATAAGAGGTAAACACTCCTACAGCCAGGAGTAACATGCAAACATACAATTTTATTGCCAACCAGGCAGCGTGATTGGGACTTTTACTGCAACAACGTTGACTTGCCTGTGAATACAAAATAAACCATAGTGTTGCTGATCTACAGTGTTGTCATTCTTCTTTCAACAGCAAGACCGCTAACAAGTATTTACATACTTAATATAGTTTAGTTTCTCGCCATCCCAAACGTAAACATTCAGCCACGTGGCTGCGCTTCCGAGCCGCTTCGATTACAACGAGAGTTAGAACGAGAACGTGACGTCATATTTACACTAGACGGATCCTTTCTAGCCATAATCCAGCAACTTCTACTGAAGCCAGTCCCCAACAACCGGGGATTTTGGGCGGCAGTATACGCCGTGAAATTGTTTGCGGCCTGCCAGTAAACCCAAAGCAGAAGAAGAAGTGACGTCAGCGGCTTCATTGGCCTAATCCACCCCCAGGGATTTATTCCGGTGTGAACGCGATCTGTACTGTATGTGTCATGAACCTTTGTGGGAAAAGTACCGCGGTGTGAATGCGCCTAATGTTAGTCAATGGGAAAAAGTGTTTCCGGGCCCGGCAACCTAAAGGAAGTGTAGTACCGCCGTTTGGCCACAACGAATATTCTCATCAGAGTCCGGCGCACTTCCTGGGGGCATGGAGGGAACCCATGCGCAGTTTACTTCCGGGTCAGACTCGGTTTACAAGAGTACGTCATCACTGCACCAGTGCACCACTCTGTTTAGATAGCTGTCAGATTATTGTTTGACTTCATGCCAATTATTCAGTAATCCTGTTATAAAGTAAAAAAAACTCTGATTTCTCTCACCAGTTTGTCATGCATGTATTTACTAAACACCACCTCTATTTGGTTTAAATAAAAAATAAAAAAGGCCTTGCACACAAGTACAACCGAGTTCTAAAAGCAGCTACAAGCGGGAAACAACACTGAAGGAACAAGTAAGGAGTGATTTGCAAGCGTATAATTATACATATAAAATACACAATAACGTTTAGCGTATGGGGTTGGACACCAGCATTACTCCAAATGATAATATCGCTCCATGGGTGCTATTTAGCCGTAATTAATCTGAAAGGTGAAGCTGTGTGTTGTGTTCCCGGGTTGGGGAAACATTTTGACTTCTCTGTAAACAGTTTAAATACAATTTTCAAATTATTAACTTTCCCGCCTTCAAGGAAAACACACTCAACCCCCTGAGAAGCCCCTCCCCACAGTGAAGCCTTGTGAAGGCAGCATCATGTGGGAGTTTTCAACTCCTGAACAACAAAGAGCCAGCGTTTTATCCAGTTTGTACACAACGATGGAGAAACTTAACAAGCAGCAGTGGTCGACTGAAGAGACCAGCTACCTACTGGGAATCTGGTCTTCCGAAGAGGTACAGAGGAAGCTGGAGCACAATCGGCCATTGTTGTCGGTGTCAGCTGTGAAGGGTTTCCGTGCTGTTTGGCTTTATGAAGCAGGCACGCAAACGGTTACGTCATGACGCAAACGATGACGCAATGATGCAGCACCAGTCGGACTCTGGGCAGTGTGAAAAGAGCCAGAGTTAAACCGAAGAACCGGTTCTGAACCTGAAAAGCTCTAGAACAGAGCTTGAACCGGAGTTGCGTTGGTGTGAATGAGGTAATAGTAGCAGGATCTGTTCACCACAGCTCTACACCCCGAGTATCCCACAGAGGTGGAATGTGTCCGGCTCCTACTGCACCGACAGCTCCTCACCGACTGACCTGAACGGTGGTCATGTTCATTTACACTTCAAAAGCACTTAGTTCCACAGCATATTGAAGATCGTCACAAGGGAGGGAGTTTATAAGTGGTCATTTTTTAATGCATCCTTCATCTGTGAGATGGAAACCCAAGATCCCCTATAGCAGTGCTTCTCAAAGTGTGGTCCACGGACCACTGGTGAGTATAGTCCGTGAGTATATTGGTAAAATTTCACATTTGAAATAAATAAATACATTTAAGTTTTCCGCACTCTCGCGGGAATATCTCCGCAATGGAGCGAGCTTAAGTTTCAGCAACACCTGCATCACACATGTTGCCACTTGTTTGTACCATTTTCATGTAATTTGTAATGTGTTCTAGAAAAACGATGTGATTTTGGATATTTGTGGAGTTAGGTGGCCCGCAAGTGTTTTTTTTATTGGTTATGTGGTCCTTGGTATGAAAAAGTTTGAGAAACACTGCCCTATAGAAAAAACAACAGTTCTTCTGATTTCCCTGCACATAGGACAAATATGTTCACCTGTCACCATCCCATGTTGTTATCAAAAGTAAATAGAAGTACACTTCAGATATTTGACTCAATAGAAGTCCTAAAATGAAATGGATGAAGGCGTGAGCTTAACATTTATTAAAACGTTCAATCCCTTAAAGAAGCAAAAGCAACACTGATAGAAACACAGAAATACTTCTAAATATATATCAAAAGGGAAGTCAGTCTGGTCAGTTCACAGAGAGCAGGGGGTCTGTGTCGACAGTCTGTAAGGGGGGGGTTAGAAGAAGTCTGCTGCTGAAGGCCGGCGTTTAGCAGTCTCCTTTGGAGTATTGTGGCCGCTCTTCCTGTTGGCCTTCGGGGTCTTTCTGGCAGAGAGTGCTGTGGGCGGAGACTTTAAGACCCCAAACTTGGGTTTCTGCTTTGGGTCAAAGGGCACTCTTGATGACCCGTCTGGACTCAGCAGCAGGCTGCGGTCCGTCTTCTTGAACTCTGCACCAGGACACAGGAAACAAGCAACACTGTTACTACAGTAAGAAGACACTTCCTGATTGAAACACATTATTATTTGTCTTTCAGAACCTCTTGACATATTTGAAGATCTACAAAAGCAGGGCTCGACAGTAACGGTTGCCAGGTTGCCATTGGCAACCATTCAGAAAAAACGTCAACCACTTATTGGCCTTTGGTTGCCATCAGTGGCAGCCGGTTTCTAACATAAATAAATAAGAACAGCAAACAGCAAAATGTGCACCCCAAAAATAGATAAATGTTAATTATTTGTTGTATAAAGACTGATATTTAATTATTGTTGTGACCAGTCGGAACCTGATACTTAAGTTGCACATGCATTGGTGTGATTACGGAGCCAGAAAGCAATGCACGTTTACTCGCGTGCGCAGTGCGCCCATGGATGTATAGGGTGCGCCGTGTATTTGTTTTACAGAAAATGGCGAAGCAAATTAAGTTGTTTGACTGTGGGGTCAAATGTTCGGCCAAACCGTCAGCATCTCAAACGAATGTTCAAAGTGATTCAACTGATAAAGCGCAAGATGAACCCGAACGAAAAGCAAAGAGGACATTTGTAAAGTCTTGGGAGGCAAAATATATGTACATTCTTCTCCGTCCATTCACTTCCGGTAAAAGTTCCTTCAAAATAAGAGTCCCGATCTTATTACTACCAAAATAAAAGTGCTAAACGAAACTTTACCATAGGAAAATATTGGCATACAAATATAATCACTTCTATAAAAAGGTAACACATTTTAAATATAGTTAGACATATTAAAGGTAATTTACAGCATTAATAATTAATATCTAATTCTTAACTGTGAATGGTTTTCATTTATTTAACATTAGAAATGTATTAGTCTGGCCAATCCAAGACTTCAATGCTGAAGGGACAGTAGATCTATGGTGGGGATCAACACAAAGGTCAAGAAACCCCTTTGAAAGGGGACGATGAATGACCAAGAAACAGTAATAATCATAATAAATGGGATTTATATAGCGCTTTTTAGACAAAGACGTTAGTGACTTGCTCAATTCCTTTTGTGACTGATCTGTGAAGAACATGACAACAGCTGCCACTACGGTATTTAGGTTATTACCAGCAACTTGAGGGTGGGACATTTGTTTCCTACCACTTAAGTTTCAATAAGTGTGTTTTTTATTACCTTATTGTAAAGCATTTGACTTCTTTGTGTCACATGTTCATTATTTAAGTTGATGTATAACTGTATAGTATCTTAATTATTTAAATATGAAGGTTGGACTAAAAATGGTGACCGTTTTTCAGTTTGGCACCAAAAAGCTGATGCCTGTGTTGCCAAGCCAGTTTTAAACGTTGAGTCCTTTCTCCTGAGGCAGTTTGGTGTGCTTTTTGCAGGAGGGGTGACACAAAAGCCAGATTAGTGGGGTTAGCGAGGTATTTGGAGTCGAGTCCAAATTTGCCTAACCATGACTATGGCTTTACGGACTACATCCATCATGGCAACTTATGGCTGCAGGACATAACCGGCACTGGACCGGTATATATTACGTATTATATATTATATTAACTCAGAGTAAAAGTCAAGATTAAATCTCTTTCAAGAGCGACCTTGGCCAAGAAGCTCTGTTGGATGCTACACAATCGGGAATGCTGTTCGGTACCTGTTCATGTGGGGAATGTTATTTATAAATTGTTATCCCTGTAATGATGCTGTATTGGATGTTCCTTTTTACTGTTCTGTTGTTTTATGTTTCATGGAACCTACTTGAGCAGGTCTCCTTGAAAAAGAGTCAATGGATTCCTGGATAATAAAGGTTTGAAATGAAATGAAGGCAAAGTTCCAACAGATACAACCACGACAATACATGTGACGAGATACAGGACTCGTAAACATATTAAATGGCACATTACCAGCCAAATTATGCAAATCAAAAAAACTATTATAAAACATTAAAAACTGGCACATTTAGGACCCACTATGGTGTGTCTTCTGGTGTGGATCCAGCCTGTGATAACTTGTGACATTTGTCTTTATGATCGGTTGTGATCCAAAAACAAGTAACGTTACATTGATGACCGCACATGGCGCTGATCATTAACTCATTTCTTTACAGCTGGTCTTGTTGTTCTTGAGGCGAAAGTCACCTTCTTTGATTCTGACAGGGTTTTGTTTGGGATCTTCTGTAGGAATAAAAACATAGGAAGATAGATCACTCAGGTGTAGGGGTGGCGCGATATGCGATATTAGTCTCACGATATGCTTTTTTCAGAGGATATCGATCCTATAGTTGATTTAAAAAAAAAAAAAAGATTTGAAAAAATGTTTTTGAAAAACAACTATAACAAAAATAAACGACTGTGAAAACATGCTCTAAAGCTGTCTGGTCAGGATTCAGACTAGTATTGCCACCTTTATTTATTGTTTGTTTGATTCTGTTGGCTTATATTTTTATTTTATCAATAAGGCGTATTTATATCGTTTTTCCCTTTCAGGTTATGGCTAGTTTTTATTGCACTTCAAAGTCTAAAGTTACATTTTAATTGTTTGGCAATGACTTTTCCTCATTGAGTTTCTACTTAGGTTATTTTTACCCTCCCTTTTCAGTTTATTGATGTTCACTGCTAGTGGCTTACCCTCAGGAAAGTCATTTTTATACTGAGAAAACTGTGCCCTTGAAGCCGATATCCAAAATGTTGAATGTTCTTCAGGGATTCATATTCAGAAATAAAAACCAGCTTGAAATGGTTTTTAGGTTCGGGCTCAGCGTTAGGTGGCAGTGAGAGCCCGTGCACCCTGCCTTTTAGCAGCGCGCGCGGCTGGTATCTGGGGTGGGGAGAGAAGGTTATGAAGCAGGAGGCTGCAGAAACAGCCAGAGCCTTCCCCTCTAACACACCCTCATTTTTATCATAGCCACTGGGGCAGGAGTCCCTGTCAACTATCCTTATATTCTCCGGAGACCAGTTGGGACACGGCGCATCCCACTTCGCCTGGTTGCTCACAAGACAGTTTTGGGTACGAAAAAGTGGGGATAACAGTACCTCGGCGCTCCATTCCGCTCGGCCTTCGCGCAGCGGGGGGAGGAGGAATATGGAGCGCCCGCGAGGTACTGTTATCCCACTTTTTCGTACCAACTGTCTTGTGAGCTCGTTGGCGAGACCATAAAACAAAAAAACAACCTTCAATGATCGGACCCATCACCAGCCCCGCGTTGGTGCGTAGGGTGGGACCTCTTTAACCATGTGGGTAACCCAAGTCCTCCTTGGGTCTGTGTTCCCTGCATTGAAGCATCGGAACATGGTTGCAATCCACCAGTTAGCTGAAGCATTTAACGGAGAAACAGAAAACATTTAAATGATAATTCCATTGTGTGTGTTTTAGGAAGGATGTTTACCGAATGTCCGGTGTGCAACACTCTGCTATCGGCTTATGAATAAGCACCTTAAGCCACACATGCAGTGCGAAACCTGGAGGAAGAGGCATCATTCTTAAACATGGCCAGTGGATGGATATAAATGTTCGGACCAACGCTGTTCCCATCACAGGGTGGTTCGTATGCTGGGAAAGGGCAGTAGAAGGAGAAGGGAGGGAAACTATTAGTACCGTCATGTAACTCGTGGACACGCCCTGAGTTCTCCCGGAGATGAGCAGCATCAGGTCATGGCAAGGCTGAAGTCATAGTGTGGCCAGCAGTATACTCCATGACCCTCCGAGAGACTAACTCCCATCATTGAATGGCTACATATTGGATATAGACAACGAGGAGGAATTACCCGGTGCACCCTCACCCCTTCTCCCCACGCATACAGGCAGTGACGCAGAGGATGCATGGCAGGTGAGGCTGGAAAATGTGGCATTGGAGGCTCAGTTAAGGATGCCCTCATGATGAGGTGAAG